CCATCTCACAGCGACAGATGAATGCTCTCCCATCAATCTGTTTTTACAGTCCCTCTTCTCACAGGTGGGTGTTTGGGTACAGGGTAGGCTTATCAACTCCACGATCAACCACTACCCTACTAGGCTATGATTCAAACTCTGTTGAACACAAATGAGATACAAACCACATCGAACCTGACATTACAAGTTTTCGTGAAAGAAATGGATGTGACCACCCCCAACTCCACCAACAAAGAAATATATGAAAGATATAAAATAACGTCCAATAGCAAACGTTTTGACATGGAAGGTCCTCTGACCTACAGTCCGGAGATCAACGGCCAACCATCCATCATCGATGTGCGGAGCTTCACTGCCAGAAGCCGAATCGCGACTTCAGTTTTTAATCACCGAAGAGTGAAAGTGGGATTCTTTGGGATTGATGACAAAATCTATTGATGACAAAATCTATTGAAATTATTATGCATATTAATCAATTTAAAATTACCACTGTGAGTGACGGTTAACACTAACGTTAGTACGCATTAAATTGGATTAATTAAACTGGGTACACTGTCATTATGGAATCATGCCCCAGTTATGAAAAAATATATTCAGTTAATAGATATCATAATTTCAAAATTTCCCAAACGTCTTAATCACTAAAAGATATGTATTTTTGCTATACTGTATATTTTATTCTATATTTGAATAGCAAGTTTCAATGGAAAGTGGCATACAATATAAAAGTTAATTTACTGCTTCAGACAGAATCTTCTAATATTGACAGCAGTGACATCATACTGTTTATAAACCGCCTCCGTGGTGTAGTGATTAGAGCGTCCGCCCGGAGAGCGGAAGGTCGCGGGTTCGATCCCCGGCCGCGTCATACCAAAAGACGTTAAAATATGGTACTTGTTGGTCCCTGCCTGACGCTCGGCATTTATGGGTACAACAAGGACTGGTCGGCTCGGAGTCAGTATAATATGTCTGAGTGGGGTATTCATGCTTAACTGCAGCATGGTATCTCAGTGGGCTAGCACAATAAAAAAACAGCTTAAGTCTGCGCTAGTACAAGCAGCCGCACATACACATACACTCGCATGCACGTCGTCATATGAGCGAAATATTCTCAAGCACGACGTAAAACCCAGTTTCACCTCACCTCATACTGTTTATAGGTTGGATTAATCGTTATTGGCTGAATTACGAATGTGATAGCTTGTGGTTTCTGTGCAGGTGATGTTTACAGTATTGAGGCAGCATATATAAGAGAAGATAATACTTTATTACCCAGGAGGGAATTTTATGTACATCAGGAGTGAATGACATGTTAAAACAGAGAGCACAATACAAACAGACATTCAAAAACAACAGAACAGAGAGGAGTGGTGATTACAACGACTGTGCCCATTCAAAAGGTATGCACGATGCAATAACAAATGCAAGCACCTTCCAGATTGAAAATATCGAAATATACACTTTGTTTTAATTCAAATCAGTTGGGCTTTTGTTCCTATGATCCAATGACACCAGACATCCCATTATTACCAATGTTTGTTTATATAATAATAGATGCCTTGTCATTGGATGTTTATGTTATTCTTTTTCAGAGGCCAAGGCATATGGACAGACTTTGGATACATATGAAGATCTGTAATTATTTCTTCCGGGCATCAACGCCAATGGCTGAAGGCATGGTGTAAATCCAGCTAGGGTCCATGCAGGTAGCACAAATAATGTAAGTCCCCATGGGCCCTAGTATGGTGATCTACCTTCAGTTGTTGGCGATCTATAGCCCGTATTTTATATTGTATTGTTTGATTGGAATATTTTAACTTTGCTCGCTAGTTTTATATTTATATCTGTGATTCTCTAGTCTTTTTATTGTCCTTCGTCGTCAAGTGTTTTATAATATACATATATTTCATTTCAGTATCAAATGTTCTCGTCACGATATGGCTGAAATATTGCCGATGTGACGTTAAATATTAACTCACTCACTCACTATTTCTTCCGTTCTGTATTGCTTGATATGTGATAGCATTGCGAGATTTGTACAAACATTTCAGTGTAGGTGAGAGGTATTGAGAAATAACAGACGAAGGGCCAAGGTTGACCCGACGGTCAAAAAAAAGTGATAACGTTAGGCCAATTTTGGGACTTATTTTTACAAAATTGTAAATTGCTGTCGTCGATGCAAACGTCTCAATATCGGGAGATTACCGGGGGTTTTCATGAGTGTGCGAATAGAAGAGTGGTTTGTAGGCTCGCTGACGTGGTTGACACACGTCATCATATCCCAGTTGTGTATATCGATGCTCTTGATGTTGATCACTGGATTGTCTCGTGCAGACTCAATTATTTAATCACGGTCAAGCACGTCTTGCTTGACTGTGTTGAATATTCCATCACAAGGGATAACAATTTCAAATCACGAACTATGAAGGATCTTTTTAATAATATAAGTTCTCATTTAATTATTGCATTTTTAAAAGAATTAGATTTGTTAACTGATTTGTAAATAGATAATTATTTTATGATTGGGTGTTTAAATTAATAACTCAGATTGTTAGTGGCTGTACCCTTAACGGGGTTGAAGTATTGTGAAATTATTGTCCTCCTGAGAGGGTACGTAAGTCCCAAAACATTCCAAGTTTAATTTTTGCTTACCCGATTTTTAAACGTAGTATATTTGTTCCTTTAAAATTCGGCTAAACGTTTCCTGCAATCGCCAGCCGCTGAAGGGATGGTGTAAATCCAACTAGGGTCCATGCAGGTAGCAAAAGGCACTGTAAGTCCCCATGGTTCCTAGTATGGTGATCTAACTTCAGTTGTTGGCGATTTATAGCCTGTTTTTATATTGTACCGTCCTCTAAAGTTAAAGTGTTTTAGATTTAATTACTAGTTTTAAATTCGAATCTGTGATAATCTAGTTATTTTACTGTCCTTCGTTGACAGTTTTCTTTACAGTTTACCATTAATTACTATGCATAAATTAATTGGTCTCGTCACGATATAGCTGAAATATTGCCGATGTGACAATAAAGTTTAACTCACAGACCGCCGCCATACAGCAGGAATATTGCTGAGTGCGGCGTAAAAGTAAACTCACTCACTACAAAAGTTTAAAATGACTGTGAACGTTTGTGCACTTCACAAATCTATCAATATGTGGAAAACATCGTTCAGTGAAAGATATTACCTCTGTGTTACCGTTACCAGCTAACACTACCCGTGAAGGTCCGGGTTAGAATTAGTTTCCAGTAACCCATGCTTATTGTAAGAGGCAACTAACGGGATCGGGTGGTCAGGCTCGCTGAAGTGATTGACACATATCATCGGTCCCCAACTGCGCAGATCGATTGTCATCCTGTTGATCACTGGGTTGTCTGGTCCAGACTCGATTATTTACAGACCGCCGCCATATAGCTGGAATATTGCTGAGTGCAGCGTAAAACTCACTCACTACCAGCTAACACACGCCGTTGTGGGAAGGTTGTAGATTGGTACAATGCGGTGTACAAACAAACAAACAAACAAATCGTGTTGCGACAGGTAGCATTCAGTCCCGGCAAAATGTTGACTGATCTTTCACAATTGTTGTCACTGCACTAGTTTTATATCCATGACGTTGCAAATTTATAAAAGTTACAACTACAGCGTATGTTTGTGCACTACACCAGTTTACCAACAGATGGAAACCATCCTTCAGTAAAAAGCATTTCCTTCGTGAAAAATAACACGCTCATTATCGCCTCTTTATTACATTTTTTGTGGGGTTTTTTTCATCTTTTAAGAATGTATAACCACTTCATTGCTGCACGTGTATATGCTTGTAAATTACTTTAAGTGTATAATAGGGTAACCTGCACGCCAAATATATGCGTTCATTTCCGTACGTGATTATAAGCCCAGGGTGCCTATTCTCGAAAGTGTCCCAGCTAAGACATATCGTAACTAGTTAGGACAAGTTAGGACATCCTACCGTCAGGATAAGACCCATTCTCGAAACGACCCTGTCCCTGTCCTAACTTGAGCTTCCGATCCTAGCTAGGATAGCGAGCTCTTCTGTAGGTGAGATAAATAAAAAAACATAATTAAGTTGGGGATTCCCCTAAATATTACCCATGATTCATTCCATAAAAACGCATATACATGGGCAGCTACAATCTTTTTTACAAGATAAATGGTAAGACTAGAAATCGAAGTAAAAAGTTTGAAAGCGATGAATTCAGCTTTTAATGGGCTTGGTAGATCTAGGAGAAATTATAATTAATTATACTTATAATTAAAATTCATATCTTGTATAAAAAGAAATAGAGTGAACTCGTACTCAAATAGATTTAAATATTAAATGAGATTTGTAATATCTATTTGTTCAAATGTCCATACTTCCAGAAAAAAGTATTGTTTAATGTGAATATATTCGATATTGTCATCACATTATAGTAGTTTTGAAGTGTTTGAAAATTAACTTTTTTGACAAGGAGATAACATTTTTACCTCAGAGTTTAAAAGTCTGCCAAAAAAGCAATAAGGATATTAAGATATGTAGATGTGCAAAAAATATTTCCATTTTATTTGTTTTGTTTTTTATGAAAATCATGACGAACTCTCATTATGCGTCATCTCACAAACTGAAAAATCACCTAGGAAATAAACAGGAGTTACTTCCCCTATCAAGTTTTTCTTGACATTGACATTTCACGGCAATGTGACAAGAAAGGCCGAGAATCGTCTCTTGTGTAGACCTAAAGATTATGTGCATTGCAACTAGTGTGTCTATTCATTACCGATAAATTGATAATATAAACTCAAAAAAGTCTCAAAAAAACTCATCAAAACTGTGTGCTGTTGTAAATTCAAATGTAATTCAGGCAAGTTATTTTGTTTGACAACGTCAAAATTAGTGAACAAACAAGAACAACATTATGTTTCTGAAGCTCTTCCTCAGAGCAGTCTATTTACTAACGCTGTGAGGAGCTTGGGAGATTTGTTTCTCTTTGGGCAGATAACTCTAAACAGTTTACGTGTGCATCAGCTGTTTCCGAGATACCATCGCAACGCTCTTTTGATGCAGGGTATATATATATATATATCTGTCAGTGGAAAGAAACAGTACCGTGGTTAAATTCTTGCAAATAACTTGAATGGAATACCTTTCTGTCTATTTTTTCTAATGATGATCTTCTTTCTCGTCACGATATAGCTGAAATTATGCCGGTGTGAAAAAACGGCACCAATGTATTATACTGTCAGTGTGTCACTGACGTGTATAGTGTTAGACCCCGTCAGTGACAGTGTATATACCTTAATGCATTTTTTAATTTCAAGCCTGTGGATGTGACGATATTACCTGACTCACTTGTAATGATCTTCAGTTTTCAAACTGAATTAATGTTCAAAGGGGTCGTTGTCAGCACGGGTACTACAGATATGTACCCCTACGTACCCTGGCCATAATTGGAATACAGAAACGTTTCCAGGATGATTCCATTCCCACTGTGTGGTATTTTTGATCGGAACTGTCATACTGTTGTATTAGATACATTTGATTGCGTTATGTAAGTAATGAGAATACACAGTAACGCCCGATGCATAATGCCCATCGGAAAATAGTTGAACAGGAACAACTACATACAGTTTCTGTTTTGGATTGCGGAATATATGGACTCATCCGCCTTTTACTGTACCGGGTACTTTTCTGTATTTTGACTTTGTTTAGGGTACATATCTGTATACAGAAACGTACCTGGGGTGTGTATCTATAGTACCTGTGCCGACACCGACCCCTTTAGCTGAATTAATTGTTTCGTACATTTGTCTTATCAACAGTTGTTTCCTGTGAAGACTGAAAGCTGACAAACTGTCAATTTGTACACAACTATTCCAAAGCATGAAATTTTGAATTCATTTGATTAGATTAAAATCTGAATTTGGTTATTAACATAAACCTATCTCCAAAAATGACCCGAAATGTCAAGATGTCACAAAGATTTGCCAAATTATCAGACAAAGAAAATTCCTACCATGAGGTTCAATCCTTTCCCTCCATTTTAGATGATTCACCACTCTACTGGTGTCTCTACTTCAACCTCTGTTGGGTGAAGATTGGAAGAAGCTCTACACATCATGCAAGTCCGACAGGTAATTTGTTGTTTTATTGCAGCCTGTACTTGTCATAAGAGACGACTAACAACAGGCTCGGATGGTGAGGCTAGCTGACATGTTTGACGTGTGTTTCATTATCTGTCAGATGTGTAGATCTATGCTCATGGAGTCAATCATTGGAATGTCTGGTCCAGATTCAATTATTTACAGATCTCCATCACACAGCTGGAAAATATGTGAGTGCGGAATGAAATCAACAGCAAACAATTTGCAGTGCACAGTTGCAGCCTTTGGGCTCAACAGCAAAGCTGGAAAGAAACTTTTTTCCGACCTGATTGTTTTTGTTTTGGTCACTTTAAAAGTGTTTCACGAAATTGGTACAGAGGTACAGATAAGCTGTGTATTGGCCTAAATTACTCAAATATTTACGTGAAAACTCAATTCCTTTTCTGTCTGTTGAGAACAAGTACACTTGAATTTTTGTAAATACTCAATATATTTCATCCTATATGCGTACACACACAAATGTCAAATCTTAGCTTGCGTACAGATGGATGGATAAAATAACTGAGGTATCTTGAGAGGTTCTATTTCAACACATGAACTTGGCAACTTGCATTCTTTCTTTTCGTTTCTCATATTGCAGGTCAAATATGAATATCAAACACGGAAACCAACATTTAATTTTATTATATTTTTACAATTACTGGAAATGGCAAAATACCCAATTGAGTTTCAGTGAGGTGAGTACAATTTATTAGGTTATTCAAAAGAAAATTAGGATACCCATTTGAGATTAACACAAGCGAGTACATAACTCAATGACCCAAAATGTTATCTGGAGCTCTGGTGGTAATAATCAAAAACTGGTGTCAATTCTTCCTGTCACCAAGTTCAAGCCGAAACCCTCTGATACAGCTGTAATTGTGTTCTAAGTGAAGTTTGGACTCACTCACTCACATCGATACTCTAACATAATACTTCCTATGTTGGTAAATTATTGATCATTTACTCCAATACAAACAGGCCTCTGTACTAATGTTGCAGGTTTACTACCGAGTGTTGAAGTTGTTGCTGTTCATGTTGACGCCTGTGATGTTGTGGGTGGGGCTGATGGTGTTGACTAACTGCAACATGCCTGTCCTCGTCGTTACCAGGTTTGTACCAATGTTTACTCCACTAGAACACTTGTCTAATGTTCACTCCTCAAGAACACTTGTCTAGTGTTCACTCCCCAAGAACACTTGTAAAATGTTCACTCCACGAAAACACTTGTCAAATGTTCACTCCACAAGAACACTTGTCTGTAGTTCACTCCACAAAAACACTTGTCAAATGTTAACTCCACAAGAACACTTGTCTGTAGTTCACTCCAGAAGAACACTTGTCTAATGTTCACTCCACAAGAACACTTGTCTAATGTTCACTCCACAAGAACACTTGTCTAATGTTCACTCCACAAGAACACTTGTCTAATGTTCAACAAGTTCACTCCACAAGAACACTTGTCTAATGTTCACTCCACAAGAACACTTGTCTAATGTTCACTCCACAAGAACACTTGTCTAATGTTCACTCCACAAGAACACTTGTCTAATGTTCACTCCACAAGAACACTTGTCTAATGTTCACTCCACAAGAACACTTGTCTAATGTTCACTCCACAAGAACACTTGTCTAATGTTCACTCCACAAGAACACTTGTCTAATGTTCACTCCACAAGAACTCTAGTCTGTGTCTGAATGGTCAGGTTGACCTACTAATCCTTCATGCATATGCAAATGAAAATAGGTTGCTGTGCATCAGTTGTTGATTCTAAACAGGGCACTGTTGAATAATCAGGTCTGCCACAGGTCACTGTTGAAAATGAACAGGTTTGCCATTATTATGTAAGATGTCACTTCAAAGGTAAATCGCTTTGGTCAAGTCGACAAGGCATCCATGGTCCATGGTTGACATCCATTTTTCAGTGTTTACGAATAGCGTCTGACCCTCTGACAAATCCGGCAGATTCACCACCGGTCCAAAAGAAGTCTACAACCCGCTGGCCCCAGTGTCCAACTGTATATTTCACAATGACTTTGACTGAAGTTGTTATATGTGACGTGTGACACTTGTTTGCTGTTTAAATCTTATGTTTGTTAATAATTTCAGTGCCAATTATAAGAAATGTTAAATCTGAAAGGTGTGATTAATTCTATTCTATGGGTCTGTAAATTTTCAGTGGGTCAGACAGACATCTGAAACTTACAGGACCCAATGTCCTGTCACTTTAAAACACCATTCGTGAACACTGATTTTTTCGATTTTTGACATTTTATGGTACATTGACACCAACTGTCCAGAGTAATATGTGTCTGCTGAAACATCAAAATTGCCAGGGTTGATTAAACTGGAGAGTTGTTTTCTCCAGCGGAGACTTGTACCCGTCCTTCCTGAACCGAGGCGATGTTCTGTTCCTCACCAACTACAAGGAGGAACCGATCCGTGTTGGGGAGATCGTGGTGTTCAAGGTGGAGGGCCGAGACATCCCCATCGTACACAGAGTCCTCAAAGTGCACGAAAAGTAAGTAACCCTAGTTGCGTTTAGACCACGTTACTCAGCTCGTCACAGTTCGGTACGGGGCGGTGGGGTAGCCTAGCGGTTAAAGCGTTGGCTCATCACGCCATAGACCTGGGTTTGAATCCCCACATGGGTACAATGTGTGAAGCCCATTTTTGGTGTCCCCCGCCGTGATGTTGCTGGAATATTTCTAAAAGCGGCGTAAAACCAAACTCAGTCAGTCAGTCACAGTTCGGTACTCATTACGTCCCTTCACAATGAAAATTAAGAACTCGCTGGCCCTACTCATTCCATCGCTTTTATTTCATTATGCTTGTCCTACATATTGCTTCGTCTATGTCTCTCCGCTACCAAGTACTGTGACCGCCTCCGTAGGGTAGTGGTTAGAGCGTCCGCCCGGAGAGCGGAAGGTCGCGGGTTCGATCCCCGACCGCATCATACCAAAAGACGTTAAAATATGGTACTTGTTGGTCCCTGCCTGGCGCTCGGCATTAATGGGTACAAGGACTGGTCGGCTCGGAGTCAGTATAATGTGTCTGAGTGGGGTATTCATGCTTCACTGCGGCATGGTATCTCAGTGGGCTAGCACTATAAAACCAGCTTCAGTCTGGGCTAGTACCAGCAGCCGCACATACACATACACACGCATGCACGTCGTCATATGAGCGAAATATTCTCAAGCACGACGTTAAACCCCATTTCACCTCACGTCACCAAGTACTGTAATGAGATTTGGACCACTGATCCGTGGTTGGATGCTTTGTACAGATGGTCAAAGAGGTTAACACCATCACTTATAAGGGAATGAGAGGATGTAGCCTTTGCTGCTCTTGTATTCATTCCAGAGGGAATGGTGGGGTAGCCTAGTGGTTAAAGCGTTCGCTCGTCACGCATAAACCCGGGTTCGTATACCCACATGGGCACAATGTGTCAAGCCCATTTCTGGTGTACCTCCCCTGCCAACATGTTGCTGGATTATTGCTGAAAGCAGTTTAAAACTATACTCACTCACTCACTCACTCATTTCAGGGAGAATGGCACAGTGAAGATACTAACAAAGGGAGATAATAATATTGTTGATGACCGAGGCCTCTACCCACCAGGGAAGTTCTGGCTCGAGAGAAGAGACATCGTCGGTGTGGTGAAAGGGTAAGATGCACTGTTGTTGAACATATCTGCCTAGGGATTTAAACACAAGTTAGAGATCAATTAAATACAACAAGCAACATGATTGTGAAATTAGAAATATTTTACCAGTGCTTCATTTGAGAAAGTTATCTCCCTTGAATTGCTGACCTTTCAATTACTTGTGAACTTGATCTGAAATATTTAGGTTATATATGAGGGATTTAAATATTTCAACTGACTGGTAACAATGTAATGAGGACCTTGATAAATGAGACACAATTGATTAAAACAGTTATATATATTATCCTTGTCACAATAGGATATCCCGTGTGTGAATTTCTGTATGGTTCTCTTTTCCAACCTCAACCGGCATGGGTGAGTGAGTGAGTTAGGTTTTTCGATGCTTTTAGCAATATTCCAGCAACATCATGGCGGGCGACACCAGAAATGGGCATCAAACATTGTAACCATGTGGGGAATCGAACCCGAGCCTTCGGCGTGACTAGCAAGCGCTTTAACCACAAGGCTACCCCACCACCCCATAACCAACAGGATGGGTAAAATAGATGAATAAAAAGGAACAAAATATAACAAAACTAATTGTGTAACAGATTTTATGAAAATTTAAAAATTTAAATCACTTGGTAATAGCCACATCATGGCGGGGGACAGCAGAAATGGGCTTCACACATTGTACTCATGTGGGGAATTGAGCTCGGGTCTTCGGCGTAATGAGCAGAGGCTTTTACCATTATTTTACCCCACCACCCCAGACTAGAACTTTAGTAGAAGAAACAGCATGAAACATATATGTGTACATGTCCAGTGTTGAAATGCTGTAATCATGAAAGCAATGTTATACCGTTTAACATCACCTCACCTGGTTCGTGTTATTGTTTCAGCTATGTTTCCTATCTGGGGATCGCTGCCATAATTCTTCAGGAGAATCGTATGGTCAAGGTAGGTCCAGTTAATTATGGTTATAAGTAACTGAATTTCAGTCTGTAATACCGCATATGACCACAGAGGAGCAGATCTCAAAGATAAACCGAGGTCCTAACTTGACCCTTAAAATCAGCATCAAAATAGTATGTTCTGTACACAACCTGAACTACCAAACTTCGTTCATCTTCTCGTCGTGATCAGCCTTCGGAAATAGAATGTCGACAAATCCTTTTGGGTTTAGTTTAGTAGTTGTTTAATGCTGCACTCAGCAATATTTCAGCTATATGGCTGCGGTCTGTAAATAATCGAGTCTGGATCAGACAATCCAGTGATCAACAGCATGAGCATTGATCTGCGCACTTGGGAACCGATGACGTGTCAACCAAGTCCGCGAGCCTGACCACCTGATCCTGTTAGTCGCCTCTTACAATAAGCATAGGTTACTGAAGATCAATTCTAACTCGGATCTTCACAGGTCAAATCCATATCCAGACTAGATTATTGTAACAGACAGCTTGTAGATCTTGATAGGGTCCAGCTTAAGAGACTGCAGAATGCAGCTGCCAGCATCATTTCGTTACAGTCAAAATCATGTCTCATTATGCCAGTCCTCAAATCACATCATTGCCTTCCCATTGAATCACGCATCAACTTTAAAGTTCTTTGCAAATGTTTCCACAACTTCGTAGTGTCATTGTCACGACTTAAAGGGATGTGAAGTGGTGCCACAGTTGCCTGTTGTAAGTCATCCCGAGACCAGTAACCTTGTTCAATAACGTTAGCTACCTTGTTGACACAGTTTTGCCAAGTTTCAGTCGTGATTTTGTTAAGGGATTCCTTAACCAAAACCTCTATGTCACGTAATCTAAAAGTTGTGTTTGATCTGGCAACATCTCCTTTGACAATACCCCATATCATTTCAATGGGGTTAAGGTCACAGTGATAGGGCGAAAGTCGCAGAATATCGTGACCTTTACTTTTTATGTAACTGTCAACTTTGTAGAAAGGTTCACCTTTGTGGGGTTTTATGATCTCATATAGCTGAGGCTTCGTTGCCTTTGAAGGCCGTGCGATCTGAAATTTGTCGAGCCATGATATCATATCACTTTTTCAACTGTTCGATGTCGGGGCTTTACTGTCGGGGTCCTGCACGCTGTGGTATGGGGCATTATCCATTACGATAAAAGACTTCTCTCGTAGAGCTGGTACCAACTTGTTTTTAATCTAGTCGAGGAAAACTGCACCATTCATCTCGGAATGGTAGTCTCTGTTATCTGTGGACTTTGCCCTGAATACCAAGTCACAGCCTGGGAGAAAGCCTTTGCTGGAGCAACCAGCATGGAGAATGATTAGTCTCTCTCCTTTCCCTAGAGGCAGCTGTCTACGTGACCCCTTATCACCCCCATCGGGTACCCACTGACTGCTGGCAGTGTGCGAGGCATTGACCCAGATCTCGTCCAAGTACACTGGCTCGAACCCTTCCTCGCACTTCTTCTTTATAACCCTGAGAAAATTATTTCTCAAGCGAACGATATCAGGGCGTTCACAGAGTACCGACCTATTCTCCCCCGAAATTTTCTAATAACGATACCCGAAAGAGTGTAAGAGCCGCCAGAGTGTGTACTTTGATACTCTGAGGTTGTGTTCTTGCTTCAAATGCTTTTTTTAAATTGTCAGCGACATGTCTTTGTTTTCAGAATAGAGCTTGCTGATAGACTGCCTTACAAGGTTCTTTTGAAAGTTGTCCAAATGTTTTAATTTGTGTGATTTTGACACGACCCCTACCTGCTTCGCATCACCCTCACAATGTTCGTGTTCCAGAACATTTGTCAGTACCCTTGCTGATACTCCTAAAGCTTTTGCTGCCCGCTTACGGGAATTTATTAATGGCATAAAATGGTTTGCCCCTTTCGGCTTCAGCACGGAAAAAACCTGGGTTCGATTCCTACATGAGCACAATGTGTGAACCCCATTTCTGGTGTCCCCCGCAATGATATTGCTGGAATATTGCTAAAAGCGGCATAAAATCACACTCACTCACTTGTTATTACAGACATGTGACACTGCACTGGTTAACATCAGCTCAAACTCCTTTTTCCTATAAATTTTAAATTTGTTTTATTGTTTGTTACAATGTCAGATTGAAACATGTCCATGAGAGAAAGCTCTTCGTATCTGTATCACTTGTATATATTCAATTTAAAAATTAAGCGAGACTTACGTGTAAGTGTAGAGTAAGCAGTAAGTAATCCCTACAGGGAAGGAGAAGGTGGCATATGATCTCTCTTGTTACCTGGTACCTTGGAGAATTGCAATCAAACTTCACCTTACAGGTGGGGCGGTGGGGTAGCCTAGTGGTTAAAGCGTTGGCTCGTCACGCCGAAGACCCGGGTTGAATTCCCCACATGGGCACAATGTGTGAAGCCCATTTCTGGTGTCCCCCGCCGTGATATTGCTGGAATATTGCTAAAAGCGGCGTAAAACCAAACTCAGTCAGTCAGTCAGTCACCTTACAGGTAAGTCTCGTTACCAGGTACCAGGTAACATATGAGACTTCATGAGATTCTAAAGTTAGTCCATAGTATAACTTCACAGGACCAATAACAAAACCATTTTACAAAAACATTTATTATGTAAACATGAAGAGTACATGTCATAAAATCCAATTATGGACAGTATGGGTTACTGGAGATCAGACCCGTGAAGATCTGGACTAGAATTGATCTTCAGTAACCCATGCTTGTCGTAAGAGGCGACTAACGGGAATCGGGTGGTCAGGCTCACTGACTTGGTTGTCACGTCACCGGTTCCCAATTGCGCAGATTGATGCTCATGCTGTTGATCACTGGATTGTCTGGTCCAGACTTGGTTATTTACAGATTGCCGCCATATAGCTGGAATATTGCTGAGTTTGGCATAAAATTAAACTCACTCACTACTGAAGATCTAACCCTGATCTTCACTGGTAAGTCTGTCCAGAATGGTTGTTATAGTACAGTACATGATTGTAAAGATCAACATTCTGAGAATATTAGTGCTGTTTCTCATGACCAGTATTTGTAGTAATTCATAACAAAAAACAAACTATTCTATCAAACATCAAAGCAGATAAGAGACTAAATACACTTGGCCAATCCAAAACAATTACTATGCCCAATTGAAGCCAAATTACCACACAAATTGCACGATTCTGTCCCTGACATTTAATCAGCTCAATTTGTTTAATGCTTTGAGACTTTGAACTAATATTGAGTACAAAATCTATCCCATGTTAACCACCACCAGCTGATGACAGAACCTCACTGCAAAAAGGGGCGGTGGGGTAGCCCAGTGGTTAAAGCGTTCGCTCATCAGGTGGACGATCCTGGTTCGATTCCCCACATGGATACAATGTGTGATGCCCCTTTCTGGTGTCCTTCACTGTATATTGCTGGAATATTGCTAAAAGCACATAAAACCAAAACTCACTCGCTCACTGTCAAAAGAGGGCAACTGGCTTTGAAGAAAATCTTGTGAAAACACTTTCTGATGTTCACCCAGCCGCTGCCATGATTTGATGCATAGGCACCGCTCTACTGCAAGGTGCACAGGTGGCAGCAGACCTTATGCTATGGCCAGAAAACACTGATACAGTGAGACCTCGGATATCCGGACACATTCGTTTTCACGTAAATCGTCCGGATAATTGAATATCCGGATATCTGGATTTTTGGTTTTCATACACCTCAAGGAAAATCCAAAATATTTATGATCATCAAAGCGTTTATTATACATGTATAGACATTCAAAACAGCAGCATCACAACATAACTGGCTTGAATATCGACACACTGCACTTTTATTGCTTTGACTGAATAAACAACATCATTATCACTTGGCGTGAACAAACAACAGAAGGCGACTTTGTCAGTAGAGGCGTCAAATTTACAATTAAACATCACTAGACAAGATTATTTACCTTTTAAGTTATAAGTTGTTTTGCTGGGCATTGTATTATTTGCAGGGATTAAGATTACCGTCGCGTATTTGTCACCATTACACAAAGCGGGAAATAGCAATCAGCTGTGCACCGTTACCCGGCGTGAACAAGTTCAAACGTGCACAATAATATAGCGGGATGAATTCTGGCGCGGTCGTCAGTAAAATATAATACAGAATACTATTATTTAACCCAAAGAATTTTATTTACAGTTTTTATGTAAAATATATATAATCAACACTAAGGTTATCACGGACCCTCATGAGCGTGAATGCGCACATGGAATGGGGTAAAATCACGGAAGCCATTTAAATTCACACATTTTTACCGATGTTACTGTAAACTAGCAGTCAATGGAAAGCGAGCGGTAATCAGTTAAGTGATTGTTGAATGGGGTAAAAAATAAGCAAGCCAGTTTGTTGCTACAATAAATATGATATTTAGAGAAGCTATATTATGCATTTTCTGTCAACTACACTTCGTTTAGATCCATTGAGTAGACACAATAATATATATGACACCGTCTTGTGTCAAAACCGTGGGACTCTCGCACTTCCCTTCACCGCGGTTAGCGGTAGATCAAAGCTTCCCAGATGCGGATAGGTGAGTCAATTTTGTGTTGATTTAGCGGTTTGTTTTGTAAAATGTACCGTCGGAAGCGAAAAGCGAATATCCGTTATAGACAGTCACTTTTATAGCGTAAGAGAGAATGGTTTTTCTAAAATTGACGGGCTGAGGTTTCCAGATATCTGGGGTCCGGGTATCGAGGTCTCACTGTAGACCGGGCGGAGTCTCTAATGCCTGCAGGAATAACGCCTACATTCTTATGGCATGTTCCCATTTCACTTAGCCTACATCCCATTTCTCGCCTACAGTCTTAAAACAACAATTCATGGTCTGGTGACTGTTATTTCATGCATGAGTAATAAGTGTACCCCTACAGATATAAATGGAATCTCCTTTAGTTTCCCTTTAATTTGATTAATAGCTCATGTAGACAACATGGCTTTTGCATTAAAATAAAAAAATGTTTTTCTTTCATATTTTTTGTTCACAGCAAAGCATACAGTACAATATAATACAATAATCAAATGGCACTGGCTGTTAACTAGTACACTGTACTTGAGTTCCTGGATGTCTGAGTTTATTGAAGCTTCAATAAGTGATCTGCTGCGCCCAAGAACCTGAATAGGCGATCTTCTTCCACTTTCAAGTTTTGTCTCAGTCGGTGGAGACGCTGGTCAAGATATCTGTAAACCTCGGAGCGTACGATGCTGCTGCACCATGGTCAATCTGAAGATTGATCTTGTTGTTGATTCAATCTTCTTGATAGCTGTTATGAATTCATAAAATGTTCGGATGATCAGCCCATTATGGAAGCCTTCTAGGTGATTGTTTGTTCTGGGACCAGTGTTGTTGTGTTGATTCCAGGGACGTGGTGGAAATCTTGCATCAAAGTCCACCAAGGTGCTTGTGACGTCGTCGTTAAACTGTGTGATGCCAACTGCTTCTGGACTCTGGTTCAGTACATCTACCCAGATGTATGTTACATTGTGATACAGACCTTCCTGCTCCTCTTGATCTTCATAGCCTTAATCCTTCAGCCAATTGCTTATATAAACACTGATGATAAGCTGACTCCACTTAAAGACAATGATAAACTTTTCTTTTCACTCATACATTATGAAATTGAGCTTCATGTTTTCTGTAGGCGAAATGGGACTCAACCAGTCTCATATAAACTACTTAATACACCAATGGTTTTCAATTTTACTGCTTTCAACCTTTCATTGAAGTGGTATGTCCCATTTGAGTGTGCACTTTAGCCTAGAACGTGCCGTCTTATCAATGAGATCGGCTTATCTACGGTGATATACCGTACCTGTTGTAATGGAGACTGAATTGGAGAATATTACCTGCTGTAGCATTTAACTGTTAAGGGCAATATTACCTGTAGTCTGCCTGTAGTAGACTGATATGGGAAATATTACCTGTAGTCTGCCTGTAGTAGACTGATATGGGGAATATTACCTGTATTCTGCCAGTAGTAGACTGGTATGGGGAATATTACCTGTAGTCTGCCTGTAGTAGACTGATATGGGCAATATTACCTGTAGTCTGCCTGTAGTAGACTGATATGGGGAATATTACCTGTATTCTGCCTGTAGTAGACTGATATGGGGAATATTACCTGTAGTCTGCCTGTAGTAGACTGATATGGGGAATATTACCTGTATTCTGCCCGTAGTAGACTGATATGGGGAACATTACCTGTAGTCTGCCTGTAGTAGACTGATATGGGGAATATTACCTGTAGTCTGCCTGTAGTAGACTGATATGGGGAACATTACCTGTAGTCCGCCTGTAGTAGACTGATATGGGGAACATTACCCGTAGTCTGCCTGTAGTAGACTGATATGGGGAACATTACCTGTAGTCTGCCTGTAGTAGACTGATATGGGGAATATTACCTGTAGTCTGCCTGTAGTAGACTGATATGGGGAACATTACCTGTAGTCTGCCCTGTAGTAGACTGATATGGGGAATATTACCTGTATTCTGCCTGTAGTAGACTGATATGGGAAATATTACCTGTAGTCTGCCTGTAGTAGACTGATATGGGGAATATTACCTGTATTCTGCCAGTAGTAGATTGGTATAGGGAATATTACCTGTAGTCTGCCTGTAGTAGACTGATATGGGGAATATTACCTGTATTCTGCCAGTAGTAGATTGGTATAGGGAATATTACCTGTAGTCTGCCTGTAGTAGACTGATATGGGAAATATTACCTGTAGTCTGCCTGTAGTAGACTGATATGGGGAATATTACCTGTAGTCTGCCTGTAGTAGACTGATATGGGGAATATTACCTGTAGTCTGCCTGTAGTAGACTGATATGGGGAATATTACCTGTAGTCTGCCTGTAGTAGACTGATATGGGGAATATTACCTGTAGTCTGCCTGTAGTAGACTGATATGGGGAATATTACCTGTAGTCTGCCTGTAGTAGACTGATATGGGCAATATTACCTGTAGTCTGCCTGTAGTAGACTGATATGGGGAATATTACCTGTATTCTGCCAGTAGTAGATTGGTATAGGGAATATTACCTGTAGTCTACCTGTAGTAGACTGATATCGGGGAATATTACCTGTATTCTGCCAGTAGTAGATTGGTATAGGGAATATTACCTGTAGTCTGCCTGTAGTAGACTGATATGGGAAATATTACCTGTAGTCTGCCTGTAGTAGACTGATATAGGCAACATTAGCCCTGTAGTAGACTGATATGGGCAATATTACCTGTAGTCTGGTAGATGGGGCTGTGGGCTTGAAGCTGGCTAAGCCCAGGCTAGTGATCCAGCGAGGTTGAGGTGTCGGGATCGAGCCCACCTGTGACCGGGTGTAAAAAACTTGGAATCAACTTTGTGTGCAGACTCTTTCAGTGTTGTCACAACCCCTAGTGTACAGTTCACAACCCTGTGCACTTAAAAGAACCCACTGAATCCGCTGGTATTTGACCAGATGGTGGCCACATGAATACGTGCAAACACCTAGTTGCGGTACAGCAACGCAGTGAATATGGACAAAGTACTGTGACTATGTGTCCCAGTCCACCCAGCTGTGAATGGGTACCCCGTTAGGATGAGAAAGCCACAATAATAATCCTCGGTGCTCTAGTGGCTGCAAGAGTTGTATACTCCCAGGGAGTTGAGATTGATAATGCGATGTGCCGCTGAGATTGACATCCAATGATCGAGGGGAAAAATACCAGCCTTGAGCATGCACTAGTGCGGATATGTGCGCCATATAAATATCCTATAATAATAATAAATAATAATTCGACATGGGGATGTGGGCAATATTACCTGTAGTCTGCCTGTAGTAGACTGATATGGGCAATATTACCTGTAGTCTGCCTGTAGTAGACTGATATGGGGAATATTACCTGTAGTCTGCCTGTAGTAGACTGATATGGGGAATATTACCTGTAGTCTGCCTGTAGTAGACTGATATAGGCAATATTACCTGTAGTCTGCCTGTAGTAGACTGATATGGGAAATATTACCTGTTACAGTGTAGGCTGTTCAGGTGAATATTACCAGTTGTTGTGTAAACTGATATGGTAAGGTGAGGTGAAATGGGGTTTAACATCGTACTTAAAAATATTTCTCTCCTATGACGACGTGCATGCGTGTGTATGTGTATGTGCAGCTGCTTGTACTAGCCCAGACTTAAGCTGGTTTTATAGTGCTAGCTCACTGAGATACCATGCCGCAGTTTAACATGAATGCCCCACTCAGACACATTATACTGACTCCGAGCCAACCAGTCCATGTTGTACCCATTAATGCCGAGCGCCAGGCAGGGACCAACAAGTACCATATTTTAACGTCTTTTGGTATGACTGGGCCAGGATCGAACCCGCGACCTTCCTCTCTCCAGGCGGACGATCTAACCACTACACCACGGAGGGTGGTCTAAACTGATATGGGGAATATTACTTGTAGTGTAGACTGATTCTGTAAGTTGTAGTGTGTAACCTAGATAATACTACTAGTAGTTGTATTCAACAGATGTGTAATTTGTTTTTTCTGATTCTGTTTCAGTATGGACTGCTTGCTTGGGTAGGTGTGTCACTTTGGACATGAGAGAGAGCCTAGTAGAGGTTCCTCAACAGTTCACTGGTATTCCGCCCGGGATCCATACAGCCACAAGCATGATGTACTGGGGATGTATTCAGTCTGCAATACCCGGAGACAGACAAGCAAGATGAACTTTGGGAGGGTTCAGGTCGGAATCCCCAAAGAGAGAGATGAGCAAGGTGTACTGGGGATGTATTCTGGTGGGAATCCATACATCCACAAACATGATGTACCAGAATCACGAGATCGAGACAAGCAAGATGTACTGGGGGAGAGTTCCTGCCCCAAGCAATCCCAAGAGAGAGAGAGACAAGCAAGATGTACTGGGGAGCTCTGCCCAGAATCCCAAGAGAGAGAGACAAGCAAGATGTACTGGGGGAGTGTTCTGCCCAGAATCCCCAAGAGAAAGAGACAAGCAAGATGTACTGGGGAGTGTTCTGCCCAGAATCCTGAGAAAGAGAGACAAGCAAGATGTACTGGGGGAGCATTCTGCCCCGAATCCCAAGAGAGAGACAAGCAAGATGTACTGGGGAGTGTTCTGCCCAGAATCCTGAGAGAGAGAGAGACAAGCAAGATGTACTGGGGGAGTGTTCTGCCCCTGAATCCCGAGAGAGAGACAAAAGCAAGATGTACTGGGGAGTGTTCTGCCCAGAATCCTGAGAGAGAGACACAAGCAAGATGTACTGGGGAGCCTCTGCCCCGAATCCCAGAGAGAGACAAGCAAGATGTACTGGGGAATATTCTGCCCAATCCCAAGAGAGAGAGAGAGAGAGAGATGCTGCAATAGTGGAGATAAATACTGTGTAAATGGAGAGTGTAGTAATTTGACCACAGTTCATGGCTCTTTTAAAGGACATACTCCTGAATATTTCTTGATAGATGTAAAAAATAAAAATATATTCTCGTCAAATTGAAAGGCCATGTTTACACTTTGTCACTGCAGTAAGACTGTATTATAGACTGAGAAAAAGCTGATCTTTGTAAGATTCTTAAACCTCTGACAAGGAAAAATCATTCCATTTAGGACCTGTTGATAATAATATGGAAAATCATGTAAGATTCTGTAAATATAGCATCAGTTAGCCAAATTGTTGCACCAAACTTCCAAAACTTTGGAGTTCCATCACAGTCAAAGGTTGTTTGGTTGACATGTTTCACAATTTGACATGGTCATGATATCACTTGTATGTCTGGATGAGATTTACAGTACGATGTGATACAGCAGGTATACTTCATCTGTGATGACAACACACTCACAGAGCTGCATCTAAAGTGTGAGTGAGTATTACGCTGGTTTTAGCTTTACTACCCATCAAACGTTTAGACTCACCTTCAAATCACTCACTATATGTCATGCATGTATATATGCTTATATCGAAGATGAACTTTTCCTCTAACTTGGGGGACCAACTGCAAACCTTATTCAGATGAATTGCACGAGGATCATGCATCTCTGCAATACCCAGAGACAGACATGCAAAATGAACTTTATGAGGGTTCAGGTCAGAATCCCTAAGAGAGAGATGAGCAAGGTGTACTGGGATGTATTCTGGCGCCAGGAATCCATACATCCACAAACATGATGTACCAGAATCATGAGGCAAGCGAGACAGGCAAGATGTACTGGGGGAGAGTTCTGCCCCTAATCCCAAGAGAGAGAGAGAGAAAGCAAGATGTACTGGGGAGCTGCCCAGAATCCCAAGAGAGAGAGACAAGCAAGATGTACTGGGGAGTGTTCTGCGTAAATGGAGAGTGTAGTAGTTTGACCAAATCATAGTTCATGGCTCTTTAAAGGACATACTCCTGAATATTTCTTCAGAGATGTAAAAATAAAAAACATATTCTCGTCAAATTGAAAGGCCATGTTTACACTTTGTCACTGCGGTAAGACTGTATTATAGACTGAGAAAAAGCTGATCTTTGTAAGATTCTTAAACCTCTGACAAGGAAAAATCATTCCATTTAGGACCTGTTGATAATAAATTGAAAATCATGTAAGATTCTACAAATATAGCATTAGCCAAATTGTGGCACCAAATTTCCAGAACTTTGGAGTTCCATCACAGTCAAAGGCTTGGTTGTTTGGTTGACATGTTGCACAATCTGACATGCTCACGATATCACTTGTATGTATGGATCGGATTTAGAGTACGATGTGATACAGCAGGTATACTTCATCTGTGAGGACAACTCTCTCACACTGAAGAACAGTGCTGCATCTACAGTGAGTGAGTATGGTTTTACGCCGGTTTTAGCTTTACTACCCATCAAATGTTTAGACTCACTTAAATCACTCACTATATGTCATGCATGTATATATGCTTATATCGAAGATGAATTTTTCCTCTAACTTGGGGGGACCAACTGCAAACCTCATTCAGATGAATTGCACGAGGATCATGCATCAAACTGCTGAACAGCATGTGCAAATATCGTGCATGTGAACAGCTGCGTTTTGGTGTAAAGTTTTGTTAAGAATTCACTAATTTTCACTTAGTTTCATCATTTATTGAACTCATGACAATAATCTTTTCAACGTTAACAATTTGTTTTACAATACACCAGTTCATGTGTAAACAGTACCTTTAAACAGTTTGGAATATTTTGCAAAATCTAGTTTAGAACAGTTGACTGAAGTAAGTGGCTACTTTTACACTAGTGAATCTAAACTTATGATGGGTAGTATATATTCCAGCAATATCTCGGCAGGGGACACCAGAAATGGGCTTTACAAATTTTTGACGAGAGTGTTTTTTTTTGTAATTTGTATTATCATTGATCAAGTGATAGTTATTATGGGTCACAGTGTTTAAAGTTTTGAGTGTGGGTTGTGGGTCACATTTCGGATCATGTATGGGCAAGTATGGCAATAGTATTTTTTAGCGGTACGCCTTTATGATAGCGCCCAAGAGTTGCCTCCCTTTGCTTTATTTTTGTTTTGACTCCCTGTCGTATGTTCAACATATTTCGGGATAGTGCTCAGTGGATAAAGAATGCTCTAGTCTCTGTGTCAGTATATATAAAGGCTGGTTGTTGACACACACACAGGGACTAACACACTAACGGGAGAAAGATGTACACAACTCCAGTGATATGAAAAGTCTCGTGTAATTCCATCTTTCTCCCGTCTCCTGCCTATCGCCATCTTCTGACCTACGATCAAGTCTGACAGTCTGTGCCTGACTGCTCTGATTGTAAACAACCTTCGATTAGTATGCTCTCATTGTAAATTTCTGGTGAGTTAATATTTCATATTTGTGACCCATTACTTTAGATTTGTGACTCAATTGCATTGTCCTAAATATCTGTATTGTCATTCATTGTAGCTTGCTCATTGTTTGCTCAATATATTATTGAATATGTTAGACTTGTCTGTTTTATATTTTGCTGGTTCAAAGGGGACTCTTAAACCTTTTTGTCACGGCAATTATTAACCATAAACAACATTGTACCCATGAGGGGAATCAAACCCGGGTCTTTGGCATGACCAGCGAATACTTTAACCACTAAGCTACCCCCTCACCCTGCTAGCCTGTCATACAGCCCTGAAAGTCTTGAAAATGTGGCAAGTCTAGATCTGAAAATAAAGAAAGTCTCCTTTTCATTATATTTTATTTTGAGCTTTGGCTCCTTTTCATTATATTTTATTTTGAGCTTTTTTCTGTAAAATATGTTAATTTCGGAGACTGGTTGTTAGTCTACCGCCCCACATGTCAATGAAGATAACATCTCACATCATGGGTTAATACAAGGAATATGGCATAAAAGACAAACACAAGACTTCATTGTACTGATGTTTATTGTTTATGCTGTGTTGGAATATGTACACCATGAGTATACCACGTACATAATGAGAACAACATGGACCTGTAAACAAAACAATATTGGCACTTGTCAATTTAATTCTCGATTCAGTTTGGTTGGTGTGTAATGCCTCCCAAAGCGATATTGCAGCTATATGGCGGCGGTCTGTAAATAATATAGTCTGGACCAGACAATGCAGTGATCAACAGCATGAGCATCAATCTACGCAGTTGGGATGCAATGTGTCAATCAAGTCAGCGAGCCTGATCAACCGATTCCGTTAGTCGCCTCTTACAACAAGCAGATTCAGTATCGGCATACAGACTTTGATGAAGGGAGTTTGATTGAATGCCACTTTGAAGACTTGTAAGGAAGCCTACATGCATTAGCTTGTTGCTGACAAAGTATGTTTCAGACAATGAGCATAATTATTGGATAATAAACATGCTATGAGGAATTAGTCTGAGAAACTTATCTGTCCCAATGAATTGGGTCACAGCATCGAGTCACGAGTGGGAGTTAACCCACAATTCTCATAATTCTATGTATTACATAATTTTATGTATTTGTGCTGACATCTTTAAGAGAAAATGACGGTAAAATTAGATGAACTTCACTGAATGCAAACAATTGTAAATATCAGGAGGTTATTACGAGCAATCATTCTACATTTAAAGGCAATATGTGACAGTCAGCAAGGCCGCGCCAAATTCACATTGAGTGAATGAGTGTAGATTTATGCCGCTTTTCCAATATTCCAGCAATGTCAGGGCAGGGGGACACCAGAAATAGGCTTCACACATTGCACCAATGTGGGGAATTGGTCTTGGGTGTGATGAGCGAGCTCTCTAACAACTCGCTACCCCACCAGTGTCTTTTATGAGATACCAGGTGTATTTTTGGCCTTTGCTTTTCACTGAAGCCCATGAGAACCCTGAACAAAAACTTCCTGAAATGGCACTAAGGGTAGATCTCAATGAAACTTCATCTCATTGGTCCAAAATGATAATGCATGAATATAAAAAAATATATAGAACTAACATATTTACAAAAAGCACAGATATATAATATACAAAAATATAATGTTTCCATGGTTACTGACATATTCAGTTTTATCTGGTGAGTATTCTTGACTTGTCGAAAGTGACAACCTCCCACATCTCCCCCTCAGGCTAAGCTGATACAATCACTTGGCTTACAGATCAGCTTGTGAAATGTGGGTTTGTGGCTAAAAAACATCACCATTTCAAAACCATTTCATTTGTATCTTTCATTTATTGGAAGTGAAATACAGAAAATTGTAGGAAAATTAAGGTGTTTTGAAAAGGGTTCCAACGCACATTCCTCCAACACTTTTTATAGGATATTTATATTGCGCACATATCCACGCACTAGTGCATGCTCAAGGCGCTGGTATTTTTTTCCTCGATCATTGGATGTCAATCTCAACGGAACATCGCATTATCAATCTCAACTCTCTGGGGAGTATACAACTCTTGCAGCCACTAGGTGCACCGAGTTATGGTGGCTTTCTCATCCTAACGAGGTACCCATTCACAGCTAATATACTTTTCATGGAATAAATACTTGGATGGTTGTGGAGCTAATTTGCATTTGATGATTACAAGAGCCGATTAAAAGCTTGCTGGCAAGACAACTGAGTGTTGAAGTCTTGTTACCCTTAAACTGACTGTATGGGTAGAGACATGCTATATATTTCTGTTATGAAATTTTGAAGCGGGTAAGGGTTTATGGTACTTTCAGAAATATTCCAGCAATAACCAAATACACCAGAAATTGGTTTCCGACATTGTACCCATGTTTTGAATCGAACGCAGGGCGTCAGTGTGTCAACCGAACACTTTAACCACTTGGCTACCCAACCACTGATCTATAAACCAAGTAACTATGAATAAATCGCATGAGGTAAGGAAGCATCTAATTATACAGGCATGAAACCTTTTGTCGCATGTGTCCATTTCACTAACAATTCATATGTACAACTGTATAGCACTTGTTGAGTCAAAATACTGCCATCTGCTTCATGCCCCTCGGACATTCACAGGGTCTCAGTTCTACCTTCTTAAGGTTTGGTGTTCCAGAAGAACAGAGAGCGATGTCATATTCACAGGGTCCCAATTCTGCCTTCTTAAGGATGGGTGTCCAGTAGAGCAGATAGAAGTGTCACATTCACAGGTCCCGATTCTGCCTTCTTAAGAATTGGTGTTCCAGTAGAGCAGATAGAAGTGTCACATTCACAGGTCCCGATTCTGCCTTCTTAAGGATTCGTGTTCCAGAAGAACAGAGAGCGATGTCATATTCACAGGGTCCCAATTCTGCCTTCTTAAGAATTGGTGTTCCAGTAGAGCAGATAGTAGTGTCACATTCACAGGTCCCAATTCTGCCTTCTTAAGAATTGGTGTTCCAGTAGAGCAGATAGTAGTGTCACATTCACAGGTCCCAATTCTGCCTTCTTAAGGATTGGTGTTCCAGTAGAGCAGATAGTAGTGTCACATTCACAGGTCCCAATTCTGCCTTCTTAAGAATTGGTGTTCCAGTAGAGCAGATAATAGTGTCACATTCACAGGTCCCGATTCTGCCTTCTTTATGTTTTACGCACTCCATGTAGCTCATCATGAACCTACTTGTCACAGTTATCATGGGCATCCTCAGCTCTGGTTGATGAAAACACAGACAAGCCAGATGAATAAACAAATTGTGGCCACACCACTTGTTCCTGTTTTACATACTTTCCTGATCAACATGCATTATGCAGCAGGGAGTGATCCTGAAATTCCATGTGCTGAGGTTAAGAGCTCAAACAAATATCAAACATTTTTGTAGAAAATAACATTTTTTAAATGGCAAGGTCAACATTTGGTCATGTTCCTACATGGTCACTTTGATTCATCTCTGTGAGAACAAGCATATCCTGTAGGTGGATATTTCACAGGAACATCTACAAGAGGCAAATATCACAACATCCTCGATAATCTCCAGGGTATACATTACGATTGCTCTCCACTATACCCTGGATGCATCCACAGCTTTTATGATTTTATTACCTCCCTTTGCTGGCTTTTTATCCAATCAGGTGTCTACACTGGGAAGTTGAGCGAACCAATCACAACTCACTTTTGCCTCTTAAATTATCTAACTGTTTAAACTTGGCAACACAATTGATGCAGAGGTACTCTGAAAGAGGTAGGAGTTCTTCCATATATTTTAAAGTTTCAAATCTGTCAATTTGTCTGTATGATTTCCCAAAAAATCTGAGTGGCACTGCGAACAAACTTTCATGACTGCAACTGCTGTCTTTGTTGACACTGGGAAGCTCGGATGTAACGGCGGCTTAGCTGATTGGCTACTGTGAGAATGAGGAGCCAGCAAAGGGAGGTAATATAATTATTGGGCGAAGCCATGGATGCATCCAGGGTTTAGTGGAGAGTGATCGTAACGTATACCCTGGAGATTATCGAGGATGATATCACAAGGAGTGGTCCTGATCTGCAAGAGGTGTATTTTAAAAGAAGTCCTGATCTGTCATAAGTGTATTTCACAAGAACTGGTCACAGTCTGTAAGAAATGTATTTCTCGGACTGGTTGTGATTAACAAGAGGTATTTTACAAAACCTGGTCGTGATCTGCAAGATGTGTTTTTCACAGTGACTTGTCCTGGTCTGTTGGGAGGTATGTTTAGCAGAAACTGTAGTAACAAACAGGTTTGACGGGAAGTGTTGCCAGTAAAAGATTGGTTACCACACAGTTTTGCAGAAGTATTACACAGGTATAGGTCAGAGTCAGCAGAAGGTGTACTTCACAAGAACTGTACAAGTTTACAGCAGGCATCACAAGCAATTCCTGATCTGCAGGAGGTTTATTTCACAGGAACTGTTTTGGGCAACAAAACATCATCAAATGCAAGTCCGGGGTGCTCCACTCAGTAAAAGTTAGTCAAATGAAAGTGTCAATTCACGGCTTAGGACAACAAATATGAAAAGTTTCATCTGGTCAGAGAGACACTTACGTCAGATACAGTCTGAGACACAAAGACCATCACCGTCAGCACAACTAATACTTGAGTCCCAATAATAATGCATAGCCTGGCAATGATCTGTGTTTGTTTAACAGGTTACACTTGCATCTACATGCCACTCAGGTCCTTGACACTGTATAATATTCGACAGTTTTCTCAGTTATTTCCAATAAATCAGTCACAAACTTTGCACAGTCTCACACAGTACATACGCCATGAAACCATTGCCATTTTAAGTCTTTTCGTTGCATATCATTCAACAAAATAAGTCATTATATGACTGTTTCCATACAGTCTGAGTCACTGCTGTTGCCCTCGGTGGATGCAGCAGCAGCAGCACCATAGGGAGGAGCTTCACAGCCCGCAACATCCCGCCTTCCCGGGACAAGGCTCCGCGAAGTAGGTCCCCTCACTGGCTCATCCTGCAGTGCATCATATCCTTGCCTCCTGTGGCTAGTCTTGGCAACCCGTCCGTTCGGTGTTTCATCGATGTTCTGATACTCTGTACCATTCCATCTCTGTCCCACACCGTTGATCCCTGGTCCATTGTATGGGACGCTGTCATGGAACACAGAGTTTTCCTCCCAATTCTGATTCGGAAGGGACATTTTGAGATTCCTGACGATGGGGTGAGACTTTTGATCGCGGAGGCTGTTGGGGTTTTCTGATTTGTTGGTAGAAGTCGACGTCTTCTGACGTGGAGGTGCTGCTGGTGAGGGAATGGAGGGAGCTGTCCCGGGAGTGTGTGATCACATCCGTGTAGGACGGGGGAGGGGAGTAGGGAGGTGGGGGGAAGAACGCAGACACGTTAGACACGTGGTTTGACTGTCCCTGCATGTTGAAATCGTTCATATTGCCGTCGTAACTGCGAGCAGAAACTTGCAACCGAGCCGCAGGATCTGCATTGCCGCTCCATTTCTGAGCAGGCTTGGATTTTTTTTGCTGCGTGGTACGACATGAAATGCTGACCGCACATCACTCTGACCAGGGAGGGATGGGCGAGGTTGGTTTCCTGGCCAATCTGGGCTGCGATTTCGTGCAGGTTTCGCTGGCTGGCGTTGTTTCTTAACTGGCATTGCATAAATGGCACTGTCTGTTGATTCTGAATCAACATCCTGATTCCTCCATGCATTTTCCTGAACTGGTCTGACTTGAGTTGAGTTAATTTGAGTGCTGGGATTATGCTGGATTGGATTATGAGACGGCTTTCTGCGCGATGTCTGCGGAGAATCGGATGCATCAACTGCATTCATATAACTTTTTGGTCGGGATGGGGTCTGACTCCGGTCAAACAAGTGTCTGGGAATCGATGGATATAATGCTGGGAGTATATTGGTTATGTCCCTTGGTTCTCCGCCATTACCTTGTACACACACTGCGGGAACGGGCACTGAATGACCTTCACCTTGACCTCGATTACGCCTTGGAGCAGATCGTCGGTTTCCAGTGTGATTTTCATAGATTTGCTCTGAGGCACTACTGTCATCTAAACAATCTGCCATGTCGTCGATTTCTTCGTAATAATTGGATCTAATTGGAGTTTTGTTTCCTTTCCTGGAATTTTGCGGAGGTGGAATGGTTTGAGATGAGTATCCCTGTCTCGGTGTTTTGGGGCGTGAGGCTGGCACAATATTGTGTGGTGACAAGTCCCGCTCAGCTGGAACCTTATTTCCATTACGCCCACCTTGAGCCTGCTCTTGTTTGAGCTGATTAATAAACTCTGTCGGATCAAACATATTTTCATAATTTGGCTGAACGGGATCAATGTAAGAACTCCTGTTCTTGAAGTGATATGGTTGGGGTGTGTGGGACCTGATCTGACGAACTTCCTGACCTTGTGCCCGATTCTGACGATCGTGATTTGGCTGGGGTGTGAGAGCCCTTCGTAACTGCTGACTGAGCTGTTGGGCACTTAGGGTTGACTGAGACTGAGCGTTCTCGTTCTCCTGAAGGTAACGCATCTGTAGACTGAGGATCACCATCAGTTGGTGGGTGTCTAAGTTGTGGAGCGTCACAGCTCGGCGACTCCTGCGACGATGTTCCTTCAACTTGCCCTGGGGTTCGGGCTTGGTTGGTGCCGACACTGTGATTTTAGGAATACTCTTCTCAGGAGCATCTGCAGAGGTGGGGAATCTGGGCTGACTGAAACTTCGACTTCTTCGTATGATGTGTGACTCTGGGATTCTTCCGTCATCGCTGGATGGTAGGATTGGATGAAGCATGTGTTGATTTTCGTTGTCACTGTCGGAGGATGGTGGTGTTGCACTGCTGTTGCTCACGGTGAAGATTTCTTCATACGTGTCATCCTGAAGTGTACAAAGGTGTATTGTTATTCATTATCTCAAAACAAATTACTCTCGAAATGACACGGCAATACATAGAGAATACTAAACGACCTTCCTTGAATACCATTTTTATTAAACAAGTTAATGATTTGGTATCAAACAACCACTCGGTATTACATGGAAGCGAGTTTAGTTTTCTGTTTATTACTCTCCAACATTATCTGATAACTGCCTACAGTGTGATGATTCTCAGCTTTCCGTGATTCAAGCAAGGTCTAATACCATTGTAAACCATTATGACGTCATACGTCTAGAGGTATTACACCAGTGTAAAACTGTCGTAAAAATATTACACTGTAGTATCTTCCACGGGCGATTAGTAAAGCAGGGCTCGATTTAGTGCTTTGTTACTTGAACTGGTGCAACCCAATATTACAAAATACAACCTAGCTATGAGTCTACCTTGCACAAGGTGCAAGTGAATAGTTGAGAAATAAATCAACAATAATCTAACATATGCATAAATATGCCAGCCCATTTTTCTTCTAAACTTTGAATAGCTATGGCAATGAAACATTTTAACACACTACGTTGCAACTGGAATTTGGCTGGTGCAACTAGGTCTTTATCTTAGGTTGCACCTGGTGCAAGTAGGTTAACATCTCTTAAATCCAGCCCTGTAAAGTATTGTATTGCAATACAAGGCTCGCGATATATTATGCTGATTTACAATTCCTGTATCGCTATGTATACAGCGTTCAAAATACCTGCCTGCCCGACTGCCCGAGACGGGTTATTCTCCAACTCTCAAATTCACCTGCCCAACGGTAAGGTTAAAATTTTGACATGTATATGAAGATATTTTAAGGGCAGGTAAGTTTTGGTCAGGTCTGGCAAGTTTTACATCTAACCAGCCCTGTGATCTGGCTGAAATCTTGGGGAGTTTCATATCCTGCATGTATACAATAAAACACATTACAAGTTGTATTGAAAGAAGCATTGTGAACAGATATCTTATTTAATTTTTATAACGCTCACACAACATGTCCACTTATTAGTGAGGTAATAATATGGCATATCTCTATCTGTGAAGCAGGCTCAATCATATTGCTGAGTGCAGTGTTGAACGGACGAGACAACAATAGTTTTCCATTCACCCACCAAGAGCACTCACCTCAAACAGTCCCATCCTAATTTTCTCCATGCGCAGAACCAGCAGAGCCAATATGGCCGCCCCCACAGTGAACAGGAAGCTGATGACGTATGCTCCAATCAGAGCATACAACATGTGCAGCATCACCTTCTGTATGCTCTCACAGCTGTCGGTGTCACTGAACACCACACTTGTGGGATCTACAACAGATACAAGAACACATTGAAAAGAAGCTTTCATCTATAACTAGAATCAATCATTTTCAAGAACACACTGTACCTTAGCAGAGACCATTATATGGTCTCTGACCTTAGTGAGTGAGTGAGAATTGCTTTTTGCCACTTTTAGCTATATTCTAGCAATATCACAGCGGGGAAAACCAGAAATTGGCTTCACACATTGTACCCATGTCGAGAATTGAACCTGGATCTTCAGTGTGACAAGGGAACACTTGACCACTAGGCAGACTTTTGACAGTCGTAATGTCATTATTGTTTAGATTTGTTGCGCAACAGCCCCCTGGTACATCTCTTTGGATGACAAAAGATTTATACAGTCAGGCCGCGTTAATCCAAACACTTCCGTTTTTCATCAAAAACATTCGGATAGTGAAATATATACAGACTACTGAAACAAACCATTATGTACACCACTACAGTAGAGTTACTTCCCTTTGACACACCGAGACAAGAACATAACTAATTTTAACCCCGATCGGGTAATACTGATTGACTGTGTTTGGTTTTACGCCGCTTTTAGCAATATTCCAGCAACATCCAGCGGGGAACACCAGAAATGGGCTTCACACATTGTACCCATGTGGGGATTTGAACCCGGGTCTTCGGCGTGACGAGCCAACGCTTTAACCACTAGGCTACCCCACCGCCCCCGATCGGGTAATAAGTGATTAAAGAAGTGAAAAGCAGGTAACATACATGGTAGTTATGTTTAGGATTTTTCTATTTCACATTTTGCAATAAAATCTAAAGTATTTGTTTGACATATAATTGTCAATGAAAGAAGTTGAAATGGCTTACCTTCCGGGGTGTAGGAGATCTCCAGCATGGACCTTTTGTAGGGGGACATGCAGTGACACTCCATAAGGAAGGGGAAGTACGAACAGTCGGACAGTTCCATGATGGGACGGATCACGTGGGTTCCTGTCAGGATGGCAGTGATCCCACACAGAAACGCTGTCACGGTACATGTGATCACACACAGGAACACCTGAAACACACACACCATGTGTCACCCATCGGCTTCAAACCATGTTTCAAATATCTTCTTTTTTTTTATAATTGATATTTTTTATTTCTTGCTTCCCCTGTTACAGATAGGGCCGAAGAGCTAGGGGACTCTAAGGTCCTTTGCAAGAAGGTGAATTGATCACAGGAAAAACAGGATTTTTTTCTAACAAAGCACAAAACAACAACACCAGACACCACAACACATTCACTCACCAATCACACTTACAAGCTTCAAATATTACAGTAAGTTTAAGTTCAAGTCCATTCAGCCTATATTTTTCATTAGGGAACAAGAAGAAAGAATTCAGAAAATCATTTAAAATTTGCAAAATCATGATATAACATCCACATTTTATAAACTTATCTTGTTCACTTTTACTGAAGGATATATTCTTTTCAATAAAATACCTATCTTGTAAATAATGTCTGAAATGTTTTAAACTAAGAGTAGTTTTTAATACCTTACATTTATATATGAAGAATTTAGCTAACAACAATATTAAATCAAACACATCATCAGTATATACATTTGTTCTCATTCCAAACACAATAAGTTGCAGGTCTAGGGCTGGCTATTGAAACAGATAATATGGATCGATAATCGTTAACTAAATATTGATTGATTATTGATAAACATCGGAAACTTCACTTTGAGCAAAAATGCCAAAACTATCTGAAAGAAATGAATTTATCATCCAAAACTGTGTTCCACAGGAGATATCGCTTGTGTGAGATCATATGATATCTCCTAGGAGATATCGTTTTGACAGTAGATTTTGTACAATGCCCTGACAATGCTATGACGTCATCAACTTGATGACATCACAATGCTATGACATCGCTGCACTGCAAGTCTTATGGTAGTAGTGTTGAGAGATGTACATTTGTCATTGAAAACTAATGAAGAATGATTTTGGATGATAAATAGAATCTCACCCTCATGTCTACTGATATCAATTATATCAAGCCTCGGATATTTGTAACTTTATCAACTCGTATATTTCACATCACCGTGAGTGGTGACATACTTTTGCATGGATTATTAACAAAACAGCACCCTGAACATTATTTGGAAGAAGACCATGAATAAAGTCCTAAATTTGAATATTGTGTCAGAAAATTATATTTATTTAATCACAAAAGTATGTATGATATTATTGAAAACACAATTTTCATAATGATAATCATAATTTATCTTGATGATATTTCCGATTATCGATCATTTTAGCCAGCCCTACAAAAAACTGTGCTTTTGTAGCAGAAAACAAGTAAATAAATAGCAAAGAATTACATCTCCGGAAAGTTACTGGTCTTTGAAGGCTGCGATCACTGGGTTCTTAATTGTCCTCAACACAATTAATTAGTCTCAGGTTAGCAGACTGACCGCACACCCTTTCTGACCATATCTGACCATATTAACTTCACATATATTTCAGAAATCTTAATAAGTGACCATACACATACAGTGGAAGCCCTCTAAACCGGCATTCTTTGGGACCGGCACAAAATGCCGGTATAGAGGGCAGTTTATGCACATAAATTAGCTTCTACCGGAATCAAATTCTAGTGCCGATATTGAGAGCATGCCGGGTTGGGGAGCTGCCGGTTTGGAGGGCTTCCACTTAATATATAGATATATATTTCACTACTGCAGTTGTTTATCATACATTTTGGTCACACAGTAAATGAACAATATGTTGTTGCCATGGTTAGTATATAATAATATTGCTGTGTTAACAACTCCACATCTAGAGTTTTGAATCTATTTAGACCAAACTATCACCTGATAGAAATTAATAAAATATTTTTAAGGGTCCATAATTTCAGAGCAAGTTTTGAATTTCCTTGTTAATAAAATACATACACTGTGCCAGAACTTGGGGTCAAATATTGGCCTCTAACAAGATCTAGATAAATCCTGCTTCCTGACATACACACAAGCTAATCCACCCCATAAACATGACGACAGTCATCATCCTCTCCTTGCTCAAAGGCTGTACTGAATGCTAAGCCAATGGATGTATAGTAATTCTCTCCTTTCAAGAGGCAAGGGGACTCCAGTTATTTATTTATGTTAGAAATTATCATTTAAACTATTAATTATTACTTCAGAGACTTGTGCATGTCTATCATCATCCCACCAGGGTCCTGCTAAGGTCACGCAGCTAAGATGATAGTGAGTGAGTGAGTGAGTTTAGTTTTACGCCGCTTTTAGCAATATTCCAGCAACATCACGGCGGGAGACACCAGGAAATGGGCTTCACATATTGTACCCATGTGGAGAATTGAACCCGGGTCTTCGGCGTGATGAACGAACGCTTTAACCACTACGCTACCACACCGCCCCTAAGATGATTGTGAACGGCCATACTTTAACATAGACTTACGACAGTTGTAGCTCTCCAGTGGGTTTGTGGAACAGGACACTGTATAGGATTAACTACCACCTATACCCCTCACAAACAAAACTACAACCCGACAACCCCCCTTGCCTCTTGTATACTCCCAACATTGCTGGTAACAAAGCCCTTCCCTGCTATCTTTGTCACAACAGTTAACAAGCTCCACACAGTGTAAGTTGTTCACAACTAAGTGAGAAGCAATATGTTGACGCTGCAGACGCAAACAGCTCCCTTGGCTCAAACGTTTCCCATGAAAAAGACATTGGGTCCAATGTGGAAAGAGTTAGATCCTGTAGGCCTCAAACAAGCTGGGGTAATTGAAATAACAACCCCACTCTCTTTTCCCACACCAGGAGAATTTCTTGTTTCCTTGTTCAACATGGTTCTAGCTTTCAGACAATGTTACCCCATCTGGAAATATCATCAAACACAAATTGGAACCTGATTGTCTCCCTTTTCAGGACTTGAGAACATTTTGGTTTTTTAAAATTTCTTTTGAAATGTTATTTAGTTATATATTAGTTTTTAATATATTTGTTTAGATCACTTTTAAGCAACATAAGTTTTGTGAGGTAAGCAAAACGTACTTGGCTGTAATGCCAGATGCATTTCAAGATAATTGTAAGATGATACAAGTGATACGTGTTTATTTTTCTTCACTTTTATACCAGCAATATCTAGGGGGTACACAACCAAAATGGGCTTCACACAATGCACCCATGTGGGGAATCGAACCCGGGTCTTCAGCGTAATGAGCGAATGCTTTAACCACAAAGCTATCCCTATGATGACGTGAGTATAGTTTTACGCTGCTTTTAGCAATATTCCAGCAACATCACGGCGAGGGACACCAAAAATGGCTTCACACATTGTACCCATGTTGGGATCCAAACCCGGGTCTTCAGCATGATGAGCAAACACCAGTAGACTTCCCCACCACCCCAATGTGATGACATGAGTGAGTGAGTAAGTGAGTGAGTTTAGTCTTACACTGCTCTCAGCAATATTCCAGTTATATGGAGGCGGTCTGTAAATAATTGAGTCTGGACCAGACGATCCAGTGATCAACAGCGTGAGCATCGATTTGCGCAATTGGGAACTGATGACATGTGTCAACCAAGTCAGCGAGCCTGACCACCCGATCCCGTTAGTCGCCTCTTACGACAAGCATGGGTTACTGAAGGCTCATTCTAACCCGGACCTTCACGGGTATATGACAACGTGAAACAGGACTGAATATCAATACATGCTTTCCTTGTAAATCCATTCTGTTATCCAAGGTTTATTCTGTCAAAATATGTTAAACCTATCTCAGCCAGTTTCTATTTATATCAAGAAGCTATAAAAATCCAAAATGATCACAAGAGACTGATAGTGATATTTAGCTTGAAAAAACAACAAAACTGAATTGCACCCCTTCACCGAACAGCTTCTTACTTCCCTCCACAGACGTTTCTGTAACATATTTCCTGAGTCTGAAAAACAGTTGGTGCCTGTACACCTTGAATCTTATCTAGATTAATTTGCTGTGAGTCATTACAAAGTCATCCAGGAAGAAGAGAGTCAGCCTGACTTTTCCCGAACCTCTCCATCACCTGGTGCCTCCTCCTTCGTACAGCTGCTCCGAACTCAACAGCTAGTTTGTCTCACAGTCCCTAAACCACATTTTACCTGCCACCCAGCCCTCCCTGCAATGCTAAAGCCCTAAATGAAGCAAGTCTATATTTCCCCAGGTTCTGATTCTCCCTCCTTACTGGGGCTCCTTTTCAAGGTAAATGGAATTATTCGTATTTTCCAAAATTATAAATCTTCAGAGAATTAGTCATAGTCAAACCACAGGCAAACTCAGGGGTGGAAATAACCCATTGCCCGACGTCCGAGTCCAGTGTTTTTTTCTGTTGGGCAAGTAAATTTGTATATCACACTGTACCGGTGTCCAGTTGACTTTCCAATGTTAATAATGTTATTTATTTAAAACCTCAACAAGAAAACGGCCGGTATAATGGAAAAATTATTAGGGCAAGTGATTTTACATGTACCACTGTACCGGAGTACACTAGCAATTTTAAAGTTATTTCCACCCCTGAAACTGTAGCGCAAATACCAGTTTTTCTACTTGTGAGCAAAGAGGGTAAAGGTTGGCCAAACAACTCCCTTGCTTCGGTTCAAAAAAATATTTTTAATGTGAAATAAAAATATCGCCACCATCTAAGTAGACCCCATTTTCTCACAGTTTTGTGCTCTCACATTTGCTAATATTTACTCACATAAAATGTGTTTCCTTCAACATATTATCTGCCCCTCGCAGAATATCAAATCGTTCTTCGCCTCAATTACCCCTGCCAGCTTCCGGTTCAACTGTTTTCATACTAAAATTATGCTTCTTAAACATTGGTTTGTTCACATTCTACATGAAACTGTTACTGCCATAGATGGTTAACTGCTAAACAAACAGAACTGGTGTTTTCTTTGCTCTTTTCATGGAGAAAATTGGCAGAGATAAATCGTTAAAACAAGATTTTCATATAGTCTAGCCAAAAAAAACTACCGAGTACTTGAAAATATGATCATGCATCTT